GATTACATAGTCAATAATTAAATTGTAGAGATGCGCACAAAATATAAATTAAATATTCAGTGCGAATTACAGATACAACGTCTGCATAATGATTACATAGTTAATAATAATCTAACTATCTTTAGGTGCATCAACAATGAGGGCCTCATTGTGATCAATTCGTACGTAAGCAGGTTCGTCACCCTCTTGAAGGATAGGTAGGGGTACGTTCGCCCTGAATGGAGGCATTTCCTGATAGCCCTTGTAGTCTTCTTCGTCCATCACTCCATCGACACCGACAATCTTCCTTTTCTCTTCTAGGACTACTTTTAGCCTTCCTTTTGTCTTGTTGTCCCTTGCATAGAAGACTTGCATAACATCTCTTGCAAGAACAAAGGGGTCGTCTCTGTATGCGGTCTTAGTGAGATCAACGGTAGTGAACAATTCGCTGTCAGTGTTGATTTCCTCGAGCTGAACCCACTGGCAGCGAAAAAGAGCTACATTCAACGGACCGTAGGCTAGCTCCCATATCTCCTCTATGAAACCATAGTATGTCGCATGCACGTTGCCGTTTTCGTCGTGAGCATCAAAACGAACACCACAATTTTGGTATGTGCTCTTTCCATCTTGCTTTTTTGTGTAAAATGTGAATCCTTTGATCTCATACCCTTGGTACTTAAGATATGTACTCGAAGGTCCCTTGGCTAAGGTATCCAGTTGATTACCCAACTTTATTCCAAGCAAGCGATGTTGCAACCGGCTGACAAATTCCTCCTTATGTTTTGTATCCAACCAAGCCTGTGACCTGCTCGGATATAGAATTTGCAGCAATTGCCTGTGCTCGTCAATGTATGGCATCACACCCTCGACTTGCTGGAGAACAACGAATTGTGCCTGTCTGAAAGAAGTAGGGTCGTCTACTATAACAGATTTCTCCCCGGTCGTTCCTTTGCCACGTAGTCTTCCCTCGTGACGAGATTCTGGAACTCTGACCCTTTTGATGTCCAAATAATATGTGCAGAACTCAATGGCCTCCTCCGTTGACCATCCTTCAACCATGCCCCCTTCTGGCTTAAATCTGTTCCTAACATACCTCCTGAAAACTTTCATCAATCTTTCGAAAGGTGACATCTGATGCAGGTACATTGGGCCAAGGGCTCTAATTTGGTCAACAAGATGAATGAGCAGATGCAATGAGATATCAAAGTAAGTTGGCAGGAAATGCATCTCAAGCCTAACGAGAGTTTCGGCTATGTCTCGCTGCAGCTGCTCTAGCGTGGACACATCAATGACCTTTTTTGAGATTGCGTTGAAGAACGAGCAAAGGTTTATGATTGGGGCGTGGACCTTTGGGGGGAGGATACCACGCAGGGCAATAGGGAGCAGCTGAGTCATAATGACATGACAGTCATGGGCCTTCATAGGGCCATAGTTGAACTTGAGTTCTCTCATGTTCACTAGCCTCTTCGGGTTCGCACAGTAGCTCGTCGGGACTTTGAGTTCATTGAAGAAAGAAATAAGCACACGCTTTTCTTCCTTCTTCAATGTCCATGACGCAACCGGAAGTTCGAACTGGCCATTCTCTAGCTCCATGGGATGCAGCTCCTTCCTGATTCCCAAGTGTTACATATCCAGGCGTGTGGCTAGTGAATCCTTTGATGTCCCCCCCCCCGGTGTCCATCAAGGTGTTAAGAGTGTTAGCGCACACTTTTTAGTGATGTGCATGGGATCAAGACAGTGGCGTACACTCAGAAATGCCCAGTAAGGTAGTTTCCAGAAAACCATTTTTTTCTTCCAAATGCTCCCATCAGGCGCTGCTATTGCATTGTCCCCCTTTCCAAGGACAACCTCCAGTTTGTTGAGTTCTCAAAGTATCGCAGGCCCGTCTCGATATTTTGGAGCTAAGCGTTTCTCAATAGTACCATTGAAATCTTTTTTGTTCCTGCGGTAAGGGTGATCCTTAGGTAGGAACCTATGGTGTCCCATATAAACTATCTTTGAGTTATTTGGTAGATTTACCGCATCGGTGTCATCCAAGCACTCGACACATCTAGTATAGCCTTTTGTCTTCTCTCCGGACAACGAACCTCGACCTGGCAGGTCGGTGATTGTAGCGATAAGTACTCTCTTGATCGTGACATGTTCCTTTTTGTACTTGTCCCAAACATCCAACACACCCTTTTCAAACATCTCCACTAATTCATCGATCACTGGTTCTAGAAACACATCGATGTCATTCCCAGGCTGTCTTGGCCCTTGGATCAGTAGTGGCATCTGGATGTACGACTGCTTCATACAAACCCAAGGTGGAAGGTTGTATATACAGAGCGTCACTGGCTAGGTGCTATGATTGCTTCTAACCTGGTCGAAAGGATTCATCCCATCTGTGCTCAAAGCAAACCAAAGGTGCCTTACCTCTCCACCGATGTCCTTATAGAACATAGTATTGACAGTCCTCCAGTCATGCCCATCGGCGGGGTGCCTCATCATTGTATCTTTCTTACGCTCTTCGCCATGCCAGCGCAACAGCTTGGCTGACTTTGCACATGCAAATAGCCTATGCACCCGGGGAGCTATAGGGAAATACCAAACGACCTTTACGGGACCTCCTCTGGTCTTGGTACCCTCATCTGACGGCCCTTCCTTGTACCGTGGAGCTTCACACTTGGGGCACTTGTCCAAGTCTTTGTATTTTTCTCCACGGTACAATATGCAATCATTGGAATACGCATGGATTTTTTCAACCTCGAGGCCGATGGGGCAGATCATTTGTTTGGCCAAGTATGTCTTTTCTGGCAACTCATTTTTTCTGGGAGCATTTTCCTTATTATACCTAACAACTAATCGAAGCCTTTATCGCTCAATCCGTTTGTCGATTTGAACTCTAACAGCATGATGTCGGCTTCCAGTTTGCTCATTGGACAATTCCTATACAATGGTGTTTTGCCATCTTGTCTCATTTTCTCTAGCTTTCTCAGTTGTCTTTCACTAAGACATCCGGTCTCTACATTACGTAGCAGCTGAGAAATGCCATCGTTATCCTCGGTGTCGTCTGCTAGCGTGTTCCTAAACACATTATTAACTGTGGCCATAGGTTCCGTGTTGACACCGGGTTCCTCGTCAGCATCGTGGATGGCTACGTCAGGCATGTCCACATCATCATCGTTTTCCTGCAGAACATTCACACCAACCTCACCATGCATAGTCCATATCGTATAGTTTGGCATGAACCCCTGGTAATCAAGTGCGATCGTATAGACTCAATTTGACGAAAGTTCCTATGGTTCAAGCCACAAACCGGCAGTGATGTGGTCCTTTACTTCCGGTTTTAGCCCAGCACCAATCATTTTTTTATTTTCAAGCTCATAACCGGTAGTGAAGGCACATCACTGCCGGTTCTCACAAATCCGACAGTGATGAGGCCGGCAGTGATGTGCAAATCTGGCATAGTGCCTCTTCACACCATTCTGCAGCAACAGGTAATGGATCTCTTAGTGCAGGAAGGCAAAACACTATATCAGGTGGCCATCCCACAGGACTTGCTAATTTCCTATCTCCTCCACTATATCAGGTGGCCATCCCAATCCTATTACCAGGAGCAAGATGCTACACTGATGCAGCAACTTCTCCAGATTCAATTAATACACAGATAAGAAAAGCAGGTCTTGGTATCTTCATTCTCGAACCCAGGAGAGGATTGATGATCCACATCAAAGCACTAGCCAATGACGTTTCCTCTGTCCTCATGGCAGAGGCTGCTGCTCTCACTCTTGCAGGCGTTATCAGTTCTGCTCTGCAGATACATGATACTTTCTTCCTCACTGACAGCCAACAATTGGTGAACTTCTTAAATGGGCAAGATCACTCTAGTCCTCCTCATTGGGAGATCAAGCCCCTCACTCAAAAGTTCCTAAATACAACAGCTGATGCAAACTCGAAGGTGGCCAAAATAGCTAGAAATCTGAATGCAACTGCGCATAGTTTGGCCACTCAAGCTTTCAGATTAGCAACTAGTGATTGCAATCATGTAAACATGTATTGTTCCAATCGTTCTCATGTTTCCAGTTGCCCTACTAGAGAGGCACTGCAATCTGTAATCTGTGAACCTTTTACTCTTCTTGCAGCAATGTGCTGCTAATAAAGTTTGCCTTTAATCAAAAAAAAATGTTTGATATTTTTGTTACAGACTCTGTTTCACTCTCTACTACTTATCCTTTGTTGCTGCTGTCTTGGCTTCGCAGGCAGCACAAGCCCATTCAGGACCGGCTAGGCGCACATTTGGAGTCTTGGGCCTTCTGCCGCGCTTGGGCCGGGGAACCGCTTCTGGTCTTCTGGATCACCAGGATGTGGGCTGCTGACACCCCCCTCCTTGAGACCCAGCATGCCCCCATGCTGGTGCAGCAGGGAATTCTTGCTTGATGAAGACAACATCCTCCCAGGTCGCCAAATTAGAAGGCAAACCAGACCACTTGATCAACAGCTGAGGCACTGAGCGCATACCGCGATGGTGAAGACTGGTGATTTGTGGAATGGAAGGAAGATTGGGTTGGGGAAAATGGTGATGGGTGGGGAGTGCATGGTGACTGGTGATTTTGGGAATGGGTGGAGGATTGGGTTGGGGAAAAACTAGGGTGGGGTGGATTGGGCGGGGAAGGTGAAGGCTGAAGCTGGATCAGAGGAATTGGAGGGTGGTGAAGATAATAGGGATGGAATTATGTGGGCTGGGGAATTGGATTCAGGCGAGGGAAGACAGGAGGAGGAGGCCTGGATGACGTACCGCCGATTAGGTTGGGGGATAAGGTCGTCACTGACCTGTAGCCCTTCTCGCAATGCCCACTGGGCCAGTCGACCGTAGCTCCAGCAGATGGGCGCGCGAAGGCCGACTCGATGAAGGTGACGACGCTGGGACGGGTGGTGTTCGGCTTCGGCGGCTGATGTAGGCCGAGCTTGGCGAGGCGGCTTACTTCCAGTCACATGTCATGGATGGAGGCTTCGACCCATGGGCGCCATTCGTCGAACACCTCGTTCGCGCTCTCCAGGGCCACCACCCGGTCATCCCGCTCGTCGTGGATCTCTGTGATCCGAATGAGCTCGAGGTCATCCGTGCGCTGCTCCAACTCCCCGACGCGCTGGTCAATGGATCGGTCCCAATCATCGGCCATCGCAGCGGCCTCGGACTGGGCGGAGCAGGATGCCTCCAAGGTGGAGACGCGAGAGGGAGTTGCGGAAAGGGCGGCGCAGGAGTTCTCTAAGGCGATGAAGCGTCGATCCGCCTCCACCGCGCACTCCTAGTTTGCGGCCTCAGATCCAGCGAACTTCACCTCCCACATGGCGTCGAAGGCATTGAAGCGCCTCAACACCTCTTCAAACGCAGACTTCACGGTAGGATCCATGACACCGCGAGATCGCTGCAGTTGGGTGAAGTGGTCGTGGTCGCCGGCGTGATCCAGGGCACAAGCGCCAAGACCGATGGCTCTGATACCAGCGTGAGACCACTGCTCGCTGCGGCGGCGGTCCGGCGAGGAATCGAGCTAGCTACGAAGGTAGGAGAAGGAAGAAGGAGGAATCTCGCCGGCAGAGGACCGGCTTGGGAAACAAGTTGATGGAGTTTAGTTTGATATTTTTGTTACAGACTCTGTTTCACTCTCTACTACTTATCCTATGTTGCTGCTGTCTTGGCTTCGTAGGCAGCACAAGCCCATTCAGGACCGGCTAGGCGTACATTTGTAGTCTTGGGCCTTCTGCCGCACTTAGGCTGGGGAACCGCTTCTGGATCACCAGAATGTGGGCTGCTGACAGAAGGCATGGGGAATTTGTGCCGGCGGAGAAACCCTAGCCGTGCGCCTCTCGCGTTTGCTCGCCACTCGCGATGGGAAGAGGAAGCACACGAGATAGAAGGGGAAAACTAAATTGTTTTCTCTTAATAATCAGGTGGGTAATTTATTTGAAGTCGTGAGATGGGATGAGTGATGAGGTTTGATCCAAACAACTTGGGCCGTTGGATTTCAGTGAGTAAGAGAAAGGGGTGGACAGATTGAATCTCGTCCTTTCATTTCAAAGGTTAGCTTCTGTTGGGTGTATTTTTTCAGGTGCGCTTAGGAGAGTTCATGACAGTGGTGGATATTTTATTGTGTGGCTTTAGAGAAGTTTACATCGGTGCATTATATGTGGTGTAGATGTAGATTTGTTTACTCCTTCCTAAGCCTAGTAACCACGTGGGTCTAATACTTACAGCTTCCTAAGCCTAGTAACTAGATTTTCTATATGTCCACGGATGTAATGACTCCTGGGTTTTAAAATGCGAGGCTGCCCCCTGCTGGCGAGAGAGAGTTGAACAAATAGCATAGCCTCTGGGATGTTGGCCCTAGTGAAGGGGAGCTCTTCGCAGCTGTTAGTGGAAAGATGGAAATTGGTTCTAAAAGTGCCGAGCTAGGGATAAGAGATATGGTTGGTTGGCAGAATGGAAGGAATGCTATTCTAATGGAACAGGGAAAAGAATGGTTCCCAATACAGGGCCCAAAGAAGAGAGATGAAAGAAAGTAGTGAAAAAAGAAATCAAGTACGCGGATCAAAGTGAAAAATCACATAGCTACTAAGTCAAAACATCCAATGAGAATGGAGATCAAGAAGCACATGAAATCCATTAGCAGCTCTATCAGTTATTTCATTATTGGCATTCCTTAACCAATAGAAAAAGAAAGAGATCACAAGCGTTATCAGTCTCCAGACGCACCTATCTATAAAAAGGAGTAACGCACCTTATATGAGATACATACTGGAGTCAAGGATTTAGACCACTAGTGAGAAGGCAAAGAAATCGTTTTTATGTATCGGAAGGGAAAGAAGGACCATCCATTGGCAACCACTTAAGGACAATGGCTGGATTAAGGAACTCCGACAACTGCTTTCCCTTGCAGCACGTTGCCAACTAAGCTCTCTTATGTACCAACCGAGCCACTTATTTTCAACGGAAAGGTAAGTCCGTTAGGCACAACTGCAAATGGAGTTTATTACCTTAGCATTCCCAACTGTAAGGGATTACCTTAGGACAACTGGAAATGGGACGTGAGAGGCTTTAGCAACTAATCTTTTAGCTTCATATGCCTTCGATCCTTGACAGGCAAAAGAAAACCTCTATTCCGAGGCTAGCTTTCTTCCTTGTTTGGTGGGGCTCTCCGCCTTTACCTGCCCGTTCTTTCCTTGCCACCATTGTGGTGTCGGTCTCACCCCCTCTGCTGAGGAAGGGCTTTCCTCTTCTTCCTGTGTACCTCTTGTGACTTGACTCGTGTTGCCTTTGTGTTTTTGCGCCTCTAGAAGCCTCATCGCTTTTTCACAGTCAAAGTTCAAGAAATAGGGTTTCTGATCAGCAGAAAGAATGAACTATAGACCCGCTAAACAGCTGCACTAAGAAAAATGGCTCTTTCAGCACCCTCAAGAATAGCTTGTGCGTTGGCCCAAAGAATCCCATTTCTTTCTTGGTTGGACTAACCCAACCGGCAATTTCCGTCTTTCTGAATTGGGATAGTCAGATTCAGTCTTTCTTTCGTATCAAAGTAAGTTCTTTCCTTGATTCTTTCTTTTCGTGCATGACCTTTCTCGAACTTTCGAAAAATGATAGAATTGACTTTTCTGCAGCCACTATTTGGACTTCTTTTAAGCTAAGCAATTATGAACGGAATGGGCAAGAGAGATCTTCAAAAGCTTTCCCACTTCCAAATCCATAATAGTAAAGTAAGAGTAAGGTGCGGATAGCGGACAATTTCCATAATAGATACTAAAGTGCTTAATCCAGAGAAGATGGGAGACGTCGATTGTTATTGTACTCTTGATAAGTGCATTTCTCAAATTCTAGCCAACAGATTGAAAGCATGCTTGCCTGTTTGTTCTTTTCAGTTCCAATCAACCTTCTTTTTCTTTTTGAATCCAAGCAAGAGGATGCGCGTTAGCGCAATGGCTTTCGCGCTAGTTGCTCAAAAAATCATATAAAAATCAAGCAAGAAAAAGGTTCTGGCAGGCTGCTGGCGTGGGACTGTAAATCCTCTTTCGCTGGCTGGGCCCTTTGGACTCTAAATCCAAATGGAGTGAGTGGTTCGATTCCACTCTCAGAACGAGACTGAACGAAAGAAAATGCAAGTGAAACGAGACAAGAATCAAATTGTAGGCTTATTTCCTAATAAAAGCGGTGGTTCTCGCATCCCTGTGCCGCGGGGTGGGCGACTACGGTTCGAGTCTTTTTCGATCGGGTAGATCCATACCATATGTTCCGGGGGGGGAGACGGGGTGTAGCGCAGTCTGGTCAGCGCATCTGTTTCGGGTACAGAGGGCCATAGGTTTGAATCCTGTCACCTTGATGTGGTATTTACAGGGGCTGAAGTGCAAAGCCCCGTAGCCTATCCGTGGTCGGGAAGGCAGGTGAAAAGCATGTACAAAAAAAGAAAGCTAGAATTTTATTTTTTTATTTTCTTCTTTTGAAACCCATTATCAGGCTTTTGCTTTTGGTATTCTATATCTATCTAATATTATAAAGCTATTTCACTGGTTTGATTTACATACCACAGTCATGTTATTTGTCTAGCCTTCGATCAGAATAGCCTCTCCACTGGTGCCGAAGATTCTTTCGGCATCAATGTGCTTTTGGAATCTTCCTATGAAACAAATAACATTCAGGAACTGTTTAGGACAGAACAGGCCTCAGTAGAAAGTGAGCTTTTTCACGTATAGCCAACCTCGAAGCCCAATTAGCGCACGGGTGAAAGCTCTAGTTTGGTTTTGGTGAATTGATGAAACCCTAAGTGCTAACCTAGTTTATCAAAGTGATTATGAGATAGGTAGCACTACTCTAGGTGGTAAAGCAAATGAAGATCATGACATGATGATGGTGATGGCATGATGATGATCAAGTGCTTGGACTTGGAAAAGAAGAAAGAGAAAAACAAAAGCTCAAGGCAAAGGTGAAATTGATAGGAGCTTTTCGGTTTAGTGATTGAGACACTTAGAGAGTGTGATCACATTTAGGATCAATAGCCGTACTATTAAGAGGGGTGAAACTCGTATCGAAATGCGGTTATCAAAGTGCCACTAGATGCTCTAACTCATTGCATATGCATTTAGGATCTAGTGGAGTGTTAACACCCTTGAAAACATTTGTGAAAATATGCTAACACACATGCACAAAGGTGATACACACTGTGTTTAGCACTAGGGAGCAAGGGTTTGTAACTTCACCGGCACCCTATACAGAAAAGACAGGGTTTCACAGAGTGCACCGGACACTGTCATCGTGGGACCAGACGCGTTCGGTGGCTAAACCTAGGCGTCGGTCAGTCAGCAGAGACTAACCGGACTCTAAGCAAATCCGGTCATGTGTGACCGGAATCTAGAGAGCAGCGTCCGATCAATTATAAAAGTGGTACTCATGGCCTATGACCAAACGTAGGCGACCGGACTCTGGCTGAACACTGTTCTGCGTCCGATCCTGCTGATGTTGTGGTGCACAGTGAAGAGGGTAAGTGATCGGACGCTGGGCGAGTCCGGTCGGGCGTGACCGGACGCATCCGATCACGACTGGAACCTTACTGGAAGTGACCGGACGCTGGGGTCCTATATCCGGTCCTACACTATAGAGCATCCGGTCACAACATAAGTGCACTGATGACCGTTGAGATTGGGCGATCAGCATTTGAAGCAGGGCCCACGTGGCGTGCATCGTGCGACCAGACGCTGGGGTCCTACGTCCGGTCGATCTGACTGGCATGTCCGGTTGCCCTGATTTTTTAGTGAACAGAGAGCCAACGGCTCTATTCGTGGGGCTCTCTATTTAAGCCCCATGGCCGGCTCAAGCTCACTCTCTTGGCCATTTGCATTGATATAGCAACCTTGTGAGCTTAGCCAAAGCCCTCCCACTCATCTCCATCATTGATTCATCATCTTTGTGAGATTGGGAGTGAATCCAAGTGCATTGCTTGAGTGTTTGCATCTAGAGGCACTTGGTGTTCGTGTTTTGCTGTGGGATTCGCTTGTTACTCTTGGTGGTTGTCGAGCGGAGGTTGATGATTGTCTCTAGCTCCGATCGTGGTGATTGTGAAGGGTTCTTGACCTTTCCCCGGCGGAGAGCCAAAAGGTACTCTAGTAAATTGCTCGTGGCTTGTGTGATCCTCATCTT